CTCCACACTGCTCCAGGCCGCCGTCTTTACTTGTCCCCCGTGGACAGGAAGTTCGTGCTGCACATACAGAGCCTCCCCGGGTGGTGTGCACTGCCAGGCCATCTCTTCTGGCTACCAGTGGGGTGGGCCTCACAAAGCCAGAGGGGCCAGTTCTTGGCTGTGGCTGCTCCGGGTTGGGCACTCTGAGCACCTTGTGGCTCTCTGCCCTCCCGAGGCACCCGCCTCTGCTCTTCCCGGTGCTAGAATGCTCCTGTGTGGTCCCAAGCCCGCAGTACGCCCTGCTGGGTAATTGCCAGATCCAGGCACTAAGGACACCACACTGCCGTTGGCACCTCCCTGCTCACTGCCAGTTGCTCGTTCTGTGCTGGCTGGGCCCACCTCCTCCTTCCTGTGCTTCTCCAGGGTCCTCCAGGTGCTCCACCCCTCCCTCAGCTTCCACCTCTTTCTGAATTTGTACAAACTGTTCAATCAGATGGCATGTTTTCAGGAAGTACAGGAAACAGTTTTGAACTTGACCTGAGTACCTTTATCCTCATCATGACTTTCATGTGTGTGCTCTTACACTTTGCACACGCTGCATGCGTTGTTCCAACAACGGGAGGGACACGCAGCGAGGCAGTGGGCCCAGTGCTGCCCCGTTGTGGGGATGAAAGTCGACGGCAGAACCGAAGGTGGAGGAACTGTTGGAGGCTGAGCGGAGCTGCTCTCTGAACCTCTGCCCGAACCACACGGAAACGGTTATAACAAGGCTGGTCACAGACCCCTTTCTCACCTTGGTGGCCACTGGCACTGCTTGTGTATGCCAGGACTCAGGCTCATGTGAGGGCAGGAGGAAGAGGGGCAGTGCCAGGAGCCGTCAGACCAGTGAACTGGTGTTGCTGGAGAAGCCTGGCGTGTGTTCAGACCCTCACACTCACTAGGTGGTGCCATTCGGCACTGCCATTTTGTCAGTTAAAAATAGTCAACTACTGGCACTCTCCTGGTTTGCCCCAATTAAGTCTAAATTTAGTCTGAAGAAATAACAGGATTCCTACCAACAGGGACGGGCGAGGCTGGTCTGAGCAGACATGAAGCCTCATGCGTCCCTGGCAGTTCTGTTGGATGTGACCCTGGGCGCCTCCGTGGGCAACGTGAGGTGCAGCTGTGCTCCGGGGCCTGCTGGGCCGTCCAGCAGCACACTCCCTGGGAAGCGTTTGCTTGGGGGGTGATGTGCACACATGCCTATTTCTACCCTAGCCAGAAAGCTCTGAGATAGCACGGTTGTCCCCCTCCTGATTTGACAAGCGCTTTTGCCTTTGGCATCCGGTGGTAACGTTTTAGGGTGGAGTCTGTTCTGGTTTGGGCTTGGGAATCCCAGAACTCCCAGGAGGTGACCCTTAGGTTACTGCGTACAGGCAGCAGCCCACTGGGACAAACTCAGGACTCCTCCCTCAGAAACACAGAAAGGCACACGCCATCATTTCCACCTGGTGGTTCAGCGACGGTCCATTTGACTGAAAATGCGGCTGAGAGACTGTGTCAGAGCGCCTGTGTAGAAATGTTCCCTACACAAGGGCCACAGGTTGTGCTGATACCAATACTTTAATATCGTTGTAAAACACAAACTAAATTAGGATGGTCTTTCGAATTTGATAGGCTTACTTTCACTGAATTTGTGCCGAGTCTGTCCATTTTGCAGAATTCTGTAGGGACATAGACCCTGGCCATCACCTTCCAGATCCTCTCCACTGAATCCTGCTCCTACCGCCCCTTCTTTCTCTCACTGCACTTGAATTTTGCTTGATCTACGAGGTCTTATTGCTGCCTCTTGCTTTTGAGAGTTCAGTAAACAGTTCGTATGCTTATAGCACATTCTACTACCGGGGACTCCTGGGCGGTTTCCATGGTTTACCACGTCAACCAAGTGGCAGAGAGCCTTCTTGATCACATCCACTCCTGTGGGTAACGACTCGGGGTGGCAGCACTGGACCATAGGATGGGGTGTGCTTTATAGGAGAGACCCCAGCGCTGTACTTGGGTGGCTGTGCTGTCTTGTGCTCCCTCTGGTGATGTGTGCCGGATCTCCTCCTCCTCCATCGTTCTGCCTGCGCTGTGTTCTGATGGGCGAGTCTTTTCCCTGAGCAAGTCCATGTTCGTGTGCCTCCTCTTATGAAAGGGCTGCTCTGTGTAAGTGGCAGCGTGCTGCACATGGCCTGAAGGCTAGCCCTTGCAGGTGCTGTATTTGGTGAATGTTCTCCCGGTGTTTTCTTACCTGACCTCCGTGTTTTCAGTCAGGAAGGGGCGTGAGGTCTTGTTGTGATGATTCTATGAAGTAGCACACCAGGGCACGTGACCAGGTGTCAGCTCTGGCTGGTTTT